ACTAACCCTAACCCTAAAAAACTAAAATTGAGACACAGGATAATAACCTCTACCCCGGGTATATTTTAAGGATTTTCAGTTACCAATAACTAACTATTCACGTGATTTGTTCTGTCCCTACGCTCTGTCCGTAGAATTTTCGGCTGTAACTATGGAGTGCGTCATGTGATTGAGTTTTGAAGTCATTATCGTTATAACTAATTAAATTAGAAATTTTATTAAAAAAAATTTTTTTTGAGATAATTTTCGTCACTAAAACCTGACGGTTTAAGGGATAACACAATAATGACGTCATTGGTTTGGTCAAATGAAATGCGTCATTATTGTGTTACATATATTGTACAGCAGTAAAAAAATTTGGACCAAGATTATTCTCAGTTTTATTTTTAATAACTATTCAAATTTTATAAGAAAGTACTTCAAATGCTAAAGAATAAACCCATTCTACTTTGAACTAGTTCTAACCTTTTTTTATCAAATAAAAGTCGGGACGCAAATTTTCATATGAAATTTTAGATGTGTCGATCATCTAACTATATTAATTTTATAGGTGAAAATGTCGTTATGACTGATAAGCTACAGCTAATGACCCTAACGACACAACATGGCCAGCATTATTATTAAGGTTAGTATTAGAAGATAGGAGAATTAAGAAATTAGATCACGTATTGTTAGTGATGTTAACAAAATTACTTACTATATAGCGATAGGGGCAAATTTTTTCTAAATATCTTGATAAAAATTTTTCAAGATCAGGTGTAACGTGAAATCAAAACAATGTTTTTTTTTTTATAAACAAAACGTCGCTATATTAGGTTAGCACATGCAATAGTGAAAGAGTTTCTAACCTAAAATTTTGCAAGAAATTTTTTTTCTTAGTACGCAGAAAGTGGATTCATAAGCGAAATTTTGAGTTACAAGCGATTTTTTTAAAAAAATCGTTACACCTGATCTGAAATTCTGATTGGGCGATAAGAATAAATAGAACGGTAAACAACGTTCGTTTTGTCAAAATTCACTTATAACACTAAATCTATACAGGAAACCACCTTCTGCGCATTAACAAAAAGTTTTTCCTGACCGATTTTACTAGTATAATTCCTAAATTATAACCCTAACATAGATCCTAACCCTACCTTAAAGAATTTTTGTATATCACAAAATTTTGTGGGCTATACTGGTTAAATTATTCTTTACTTAAATCAGAATTATATGATTTTGTACCATTTATTGATTAACCTAACTTATGTCAAATTAACTATGATAATTGACCAATCAAATCAACGAAACTTCATATGTGAGGTTTTTATATATAAAAGAGTAGGGGCATGCCCTAGGCATGCCTTCCTGGGCATGCCCCTGAGGCATGCCTTGGGACACCGTGCCCCCAACCCTACTCAAGGAGAACCAAAATCATATTTGATCTACATTGCATATATATATAATCTATTAATTAAAACGAAAGTGCTTTAATCATTAACTCTAATAATTTTATGATTTTATAATGTTCGTCTGCAAAAGAGGTACTTTTTAGTAAACCACGTTTAATTTATTCTCACTGGTAAATTTGCAACGTGATATTAACGTTTCTGACGCGTAAAAAATAATTTTGTGTTGAGCAGACGGTCGCAAAGAACGCGTTTTATTTGATAAGGTTTGTAAATTAAAAATACGTGTCCAACCCGGTTTGGTTATGAAATCGTAAAGTGCTGAATATCAAAGCATCCCTACTCCTTTCTCAACTTTAGATCACTGGTCGCATCAATAAGCTATGTTATGGACTTGATTTAAATTTCGTTGATCCTGTTGCTGTGACTCAGAAGGTCTGTTAGTAATATTAGTTAAATATCAATTTAGCTGTAACAATGATTGATCTGGTAATTCTTTAAATCAATAAGGTTATTTCTGGTGTCTATCAAGGCGTAAGTACTGTTGAATTAGACAATTTAGCTGCGGAGACAGCAGCATATATGACTACAAAGCATCCTGATTATGCCATTTTGGCTGCGCGTATCGCAATCTCTAATCTTCATAAAGAGACCAAGAAAGCCTTTTCTACAGTCATCGATGATCTTTATAATTATGTAAATCCAAAAACTAGAAAACGTGCTTCAATGATCTCAGAAGCAACCTATAATATTGTCATGAAAAATTCGGAAAAACTTAATTCTGCTATCATTTATGATAGAGATTATAATTATAACTATTTTGGGTTCAAAACTCTTGAAAGATCCTATCTTTTGCGAATTAATGGAAAAGTAGCTGAAAGACCACAACACATGCTTATGCGCGTGGCCGTTGGTATTCATGGCGAAGATATCGATTCAGCAGTCGAAACCTACAACCTAATGTCTGAAAAATATTTTACACATGCGTCACCTACTCTTTTTAATGCTGGAACTCCACGACCTCAACTTTCAAGTTGTTTCCTTCTGACAGTAAAGGATGATTCAATTGAAGGCATCTACGAGACGTTGAAGACATGTGCCATGATTTCGAAAACGGCTGGCGGTATTGGCTTGAACATTCATAATATTAGAGCATCTGGATCTTACATCTCGGGAACTAATGGTTACTCGAATGGTATCATTCCTATGCTTCGTGTTTATAATAATACCGCACGATACGTTGATCAAGGAGGAAATAAACGTCCCGGTGCATTTGCTGTTTATTTAGAAACATGGCATCCAGATATTTTCGATTTTTTAGATTTAAAGAAGAATACTGGTAAAGAGGAGAGGCGAGCACGGGATTTATTCTACGCACTTTGGATTTCTGATTTATTTATGCAACGGGTCGAATCTGATGGTGTTTGGAGTCTTTTCGATCCAGCAGAGGCACCAGGACTTATGGACGTGTGGGGAGATGAATTTGAGGTAATATTATTAGATATAATATTGAAGTAAATCTATATACCTTGCGAAATAACAATTTTCTTATTGTATAAATTCAGAAATTATATGAAGATTACGAACGCCAAGGCCTGGCACGTAAAGTCGTTAAAGCCCAAAAATTATGGACTGCAATATTAGAATCACAAATAGAAACTGGCACTCCGTACATGCTCTATAAAGATTCTTGCAACCGTAAATCTAATCAGCAGAATCTCGGAACGATCAAATGTAGCAATTTATGCACTGAGATTGTTGAATACTCTAGCCCTGATGAAGTGGCCGTGTGTAATTTAGCAAGCGTAGCTTTACCAATGTTTGTTAAGAATAAAGATACATATGATTTCGAACATTTACACGAGGTATGTTTTTCTAAATTATTTGATTATTTAGTTATTTATAATGAAAGCTTATTCATTTTATTTATTTGTAGGTTACAAAAGTTATAACTCGCAACTTAAACAAAATTATTGAAATTAACTACTATCCTGTTGAAGAAGCACGCAGATCTAATTTTCGGCATCGTCCAATTGGCATTGGTGTTCAAGGTATTTTATTAAATTAATATACTACTCGTAATTGTTTCATATTTAACTAAGACTTCTTTTAAAATAAGGGTTGGCGGATACCTTTCTCTCCATGCGCATTCCATTTGACTCACCACGTGCCAGGGAATTGAATACGCAGATATTTGAAACAATGTATCATGGTGCCTTGGAGGCATCATTCGAGCTCGCTTGCAAATATGGTCCATATGAAACCTATCAAGGATCCCCAATATCACAAGGAATTTTGCAATATGACATGTGGAACGTTATTCCAACGGATTTATGGGATTGGAATTCATTGAAACAAAACATTGCACAATCTGGTGTTCGTAATTCACTACTATTAGCACCAATGCCCACTGCTTCAACCTCACAAATCTTGGGATTTAATGAATGTTTTGAACCTTACACGAGTAACATTTACACTCGACGCGTTCTCGCTGGAGAATTTCAAGTTGTAAACCCTTGGCTTTTAAAGGATTTGGTTGACTTGGGCTTATGGAGTGATCAGATGAAAAATAAGATCATCTCAGACAATGGAAGTGTCCAAAAAGGTAAATACTTTCTAAAAATTATATACATGAATCTAAAGACAAGTATCAACATCATTTGTTCTGATGCATTGTTAGTTCCTGGTATCCCTGAAGAACTTAAAGCCATGTACAAAACAACATGGGAGTTGTCTCAAAAAGTAATAATTGATATGGCAGCTGATCGCGGTGCGTTCATTGATCAATCCCAAAGTCTCAATATACATATGGGAGAACCAACTATTGCCAAATTGACCAGCATGCACTTGTAAGTTCTATTAAACACCACATATTTAATAATTTATTACACTTCAAAATATCGTTGTTAATAGTATATGTTAAAATTACTGTTTTTTTGTTTTAAAAAAAAAGTTATGGTTGGAAAAAAGGCCTAAAGACTGGAATGTATTATCTTCGAACAAAACCAGCAGCAGACGCTATTAAGGTGAGATTCCAATTGTAATAAACAGTTTTATATACGCAAGTTAATTCATTATTTTTTGTTACTAGTTTACTGTTGATCAGCTTTCACTCAGGGAAGTTGAAGCGACTGAAGAACCTGAAAATATTAGAAATAAAAAGGCAGCTATTCTAGCTATAGCGTGTTCAATTGAGAATAAAGAAGATTGTGTTATGTGTAGCGGCTAGATTTCTATTCAATTAAATAAAAAATAAAACGCTGTCAATGATGACAAATTAGCATTAGATAGTTCTTTTATGTATAACGCTAAACTTAATAATAGAGCGTAGATAAGTCATTTTCATATAATTATGTGTATAGAGAAAATTAAAATATATACAAAAGTGACAAGCCTCTTTAAATGCATACTAAATATAATATCTCTTTTAATGCACAATAATTGTCTAGTTCATATGGATTTTTATAGATACATATATATAGATATTTATCTATTTTATAAATTAGGGTTCGTGGCACAGTAAAAAATTTGGCATTGCCAAATTTTAGTTTTGATGCTATAGGCAGGCCATATGATATGCAGCGACTACGTAATGGTATTGTGTATCCTAGCCGTGCCGAAAACGAGGTGTCTGGTCATGCGATTTCCGCCGCTCTGAATGATCACCCACAAATCAAAACTCAAAATTTTGCTTATTAAATCACCTGCGCTCTAATTAAAAAAATTTCTTGCAAAATTTTACTATGATACGATTTCCTAACCCTAAATATGTGTTTTTTCCTTTTATTTATATGTTGTCTTTGATTGGTTTGATTTTTAGATATCAGACCGGATGCTTCGTAAGTCACATGACCAGACACTTCGTTTTCTATATTAGGACTTGGGGCAAAATTCCTGATATTAACTATATGCTGGAATCTGAGCGGAATCCAATGATAAGTAATTTTTTTTTTATTAAGTTAACAACTAAAGTCAATTAATTGAAAGTTGTAGAGCTCACTGAGACGCATCTAATGGTGGTTAGAACATTCAAATCTGTCTGGTATATGCCGAGTTATCACTAAAAAACGCTTGATCGATTATATAAAATCTCTGTTTACATAGAATATTATATAATCGGCCGAGTGTTTTTTAGTGATCCACCGGACCAATTTTGATGATCTAACCACCATTAGATGTGTCTCAGTGAGTTCTACAACTTTCAATTAATCGACTTGAGTTGTTAATTTAGTAAAAAAAAATTACTTATCAGTGGACTCCGTCAGATTCCAGCATATTTTAAAATTGTAAATTAATTTAATCTTTATATTACAGTAAAACCTCCATAAGTGCACCCTCTATAAGCGCACACCCTCTCTAAATGCACGCTTAAATTTGGGCCCAAATATATACATGACCTCTATAAATGCACTTTTTCTTATTATTCTCTAAGTGCACATCATTAAAGTTCAGTCCTGAGGGCGTGCACTTATGGAGGTTTTACTGTAATTCTAATAGCATGCCTTTTGATCCTATGGCATGCCAAAGACCCCTCATATTGTGCCCGGGGCATGCCCCTCTATATATACTAAGTATGATGCTGCTCTTCTAAAATATAATATATACGTATAAGATTTAAAAATTTCAAAATCATAGATAACTTTTGATTTTTTTTTGTAAAATTTTTGGATATATTGCATCTTATTTAGAGATATTCTTAAAGTAGCTACTAGATCTTGTAGCCAATCAACATTAATTACACATGATTAATATTTATAATTATATATGGCATGCTCTTGGGTCACCATGCCTCTAACTCTATTATAAATGCATACTATCTTTTTTGATCTATATACCGGACGTTTTAAAATTATTGTCGCGGCTGATGCTGAAATTTGGGGTCGTGATTTGAAACCATAAGCGCTGCTAAAATCCACCTTTACTCTTTAATTATTAATTCTAACCTTAAACACAAAAAAAACGGTGAAAAAATACCCCCCAAAAAAATTTAAAAAAAATTCACATCTGAATAGGTCCAAATTTCAGCATCAGCCGCAAATCAATGATCTTGTGTAACTTTTCCTCCTTTTAACACATGTCGCATCTGAAGTAGCGATTTATCTAAAGTAGCCACTTTATATATCTAAAGTAGCACCCTGGCTAAAATTAAAA